TGTGTGCTTGTTTTCCATTCTGTGGGAACTTCACTTAATAGATGGGTTCCAGCTCTAACCAGGAACAATATAAGGTGTGCTATATCACCGTTGTTCTAGATGCTGAAGAGTACTCCATGGTATACATATACGACATTTTATTAATCCATTCTTGGGATTGATGGGGCACTTGGGCTGTTTCCACAGCCTGCAATTATGGAATTGTTGCTGCTATAAACATTCCAAGTGCAGGTGTCTTTTTCTGTTAGATTGTCATTGGATCTTTTGGTAAGATGCCCAGCAATGGGGACTGCTGGATCAAATGGTAGATTCACTTGTATTGCTTTACGGTATCTTCATTTGCTTTCCACAGAGGTTGAACTAGTTGTGCAGTCCCCACAGCATTGTAGGAGTGTTCCTCTCTCTCCGCATTCCACGCACACCAATTATGTGTTTGGGGCGACCTTTTTGATAAGGGCCATTCTACTGGGAGTTAGTGGGATATCTCATTGTAGTTTTTTTGGATTGTGGCATTTCCCTGGGCCATGATTGTAGAGATGTTTGAGCATTTTTCCATATGTTTGGTTGGCATTTCTTCGGTCTTCTTTAGAAAAGTTTGTGTGTTCAAAGTCCGTGTTGCCCACTTTTTAACAGCGGTTATTGGATTTTTTCTGCTGATTTTTTCGTGAATTCTAAGTATATTCTAGTTTATCAAGCCCCTTATCTGCATAAGTAGGCTGCCAAAAATTTTCTCCCATTCTGTACGGTTGTACTGTGTTACTTTCAATGGACTGTTTCTTTGGCTGTGGCAGAAGCTTGTCAGCTTTGATCATGTCCATTTATTTATTTTTGTTGCTGCGTGATTGACTTTGGGGGACTTCTCATAAATCTTGCCTAGGCCTGTGTCCAGGAGAGTGTATTCCAACATTTTCTCTAGAATTCTAATTTTCATACTTCAGGTTTAAGTCTGTGATATCCAGCGTGAGTTGATTTTTGTGAGAGGTGAAAGTGGTAGGAGTCCTGGTTTTAGCCTCTACAGGTGGCTATCCTCCTGGGCTCAAGTGATCCTCCTGCCTCAGCCTCCTGAGTAGCTGGGACTACAGGCATGCGCCACCATGCCTGGCTAATTTTTTCTATGTATTTTTAGTTGGCCAATTAATTTCTATTTATAGTAGAAATGCGGTCTCTCTCTTGCTCAGGCTGGTCTCGAACTCCTGACCTTGAGCAGTCTTCCCAACTCGGCCTCCCGGAGTGCTAGGATGACAGGCCTGAGCCACCGCGCCTGGCCCTGATGTAATTGTTAATGAGAGAAATAAAATGCCACGACTGAGTGTGGCTTCTTTCTTCTTACATTTGAGGGTTAACAGGACCTCGGAGGGGTGAAGGAGAGGAACAGAGCTGCTCTCCACGTTAAAAGTGGGCAAGCTCCACGCGTTAATTTTACTCTTGCTCACACACGGCACTTATATGTTGCATAATCTCTGCCTCCTATCATGCACAGACGTCTAAATCCCGAATTTGTCCGGAGGAGTACTCTGGGAAGGCCGCCAGGAGGGCGTGGGTGTCTCGCATCTCCCGTTGGGACCAGGGCGGGGACGCCGCCCGGTCCAGTCATGACGGAACTCAGCATCCTCCTGACGCGAGGCGCCTAGTTCCCAGAAGCAGCGGGTCAGGCGGGATCTGACTGAACCTTGGTCGCAGGCCTGGAGGGTGCGGCCGACCCGGGCCCTAGAGGGTGTGGCGGGGGAGTAGTCCGTGTGCCCCGACCGACCCGTAGGGTCGCGGGGGCTGAAAACCTAGGGCGGCGCTCCAGGGTGCTGAAGAGACCGGAAAGGGGCCAGGACCTTCCGGTCGTCTCGGCCCGCAACCCGCCCCGTACCCCGCAGCCCTACAGCTCGGATGACGTGGCGCCCACGAGGTCCCCGCTCCAGCCAGGACAGGGCCCAGCCTCCCGACTGCCGGGCCAGCGAGGAAGGGATCCGCTCGCGCCCGCCGCCAGATCCCAGGGCCGGGAGGCCCCACCGCACACGTAGCCCCGCCCAGCGCCGCCAGCGGCAGCGGGGGCCGGCGAGCCGGCCGGAGCGGACTCGCCCAGCTTGGCCAGGGGCGGGCCGGCCCGCCCGCCGCGGCTGACCCCTCCCCCGGAGCCCCGGCCCCCGCGCCCTGAAGGAGGTTGGGGCCTGGTTCTGGGCCTGGCGTGGCGGGAGGAGGAGCAGGCAGCGGCTGAGGGCAGAGTCCAGGAGGCCCTGGCTGCGGGGGAATGACGCCTCCGCCTTCGCGGGCAGAAGCCTTTAAATACGGGCTCAGGCCAGGGCCTCGGGGTGCCGCGCTTAGCAGCCTGAGGGAGGGCCGCGCGGCGCGGGGAGCTCAGGCGGAGCAGGCCGTGGGTGCAGAAGCTGCGGCGGCGCGGCCCGGAGGAAGGTGGGGTCCGAGCGTTCGGGACACAGCGGCCGCCGCGCTCGGAGCTTGGAAGCGGGTAAGCCTTTCCGGGACTGGCCTCGCCGCCGCGGGGATGCTCCTGGGTCCTGGCGGGATGTGGAGGGAGCGGGCCGGGCGCGTGCGCGCTGCTCTCGGTTGCTCTCTGCGCTCGGGCCCGGGCTTCCCTCGTTCGGGCTCAGGGCGGGAATCGCATTTTGGATCTGCTGCCCTGGGGATGGGATAGTCTCAGCTTTTTGTTCAAGACTCGCGAGTGGAGTCTTCAAGCCCTTTCCCCTTCTGCTCTTACCCACTTTCTGACGTGGGACAAACGGGATTTCCCCGCTGCCTCGGAAAGCTGAATGCCCACGGAAGGAAGCGGCTCTCTTGGTAGGGTCCGCATTATGGTCTCAGAGTCGTAGTCTTTTGTTTGTGTTTAAGGGTCTACTTACCTAGGGAGCTGCTGTGTTTTTTGTGGCCTCCCTTCTTACGAAACCAGAGAGAAGAGGAACCCAGGAAGCCCTTTTGAGGGCGAAATCCTAAGACTATCGTGATATTTGTCTGGGCTGTCCTGGAATCTATTGTTGGCCACCACACCATATAGCACCATAAAGGCCACGGAAGGCCTTTCTTGGGTGCTTCAGAAGACCATGTTTGTGTGAGATCTTGAAAAATTATACGTCCTATATATATAGGAAGATAATTGAGTAGGATAGGGAATTCTGATATATGTGAAAGACGTGTTCACTGGTAGGGAGCTATTCATGGATATACAGAGAAGTAGCTGTCCATTGACTGACCTCAAAGACACAGTGAGTCTTTGAGTTTTTCAGAACAGTAGTCTGGTCTGTTTCATCAGGGGTTCTGGAAATGAAAGAGCTGACTGTCCGCTCTGACATTGCTTGTAAGTACCCAGCCTCTATCTAGTTGTCTACTGCTTGTGGAAGGAAAATAGGGGGTAGCAAAGTAGAGAAGGAAGGGATGGGAGTGAGACTTCTTGTGTATACATTGTTATAACAGATTTAATTTTTGAACCATATGATGAATATATTACCTACTCAAAACAAATAATTTAAAAATTTTTCATATTGCTAAGAATATTGCTTTCTTCAATGGAATCATATGATTCCAAATTCTGTTTATTTTACTAAAATTTTCTTTCTTTTTATAGTTTTTAAAAAGTTATTAGGAGGCCGGGCGTGGTGGCTGACGCCTGTAATCCTAGCACTCTGGGAGGCCGAGGTGGGCGGATTACTCGATGTCAGGAGTTGGAAACCAGCCTGAGCGAAACCCCCTCTCTACTAAATATAGAAATTAATTGACCAACTAAAATATATATATAGAAAAAATTAGCCGGGAATGGTGGCGCATGCCTGTAGTCCCAGCTACTTGGAAGGCTGAGGCAGGAGGATTGCTTGAGTCCAGGAGATTGAGGTTGCTGTGTGCTAGGCTGATGCCACAGCACTCACTCTAGCCTGGGCAAGTGAGACTCTGTCTCAAAAAAAAAAAAGTTATTAGCGATCAGACTTTATAAGTTGATATCTGTTAATTATGACCACTAAAATTTGATTTATAAACCAGATAGGTTGTATATTAATACAGGGAGGCTGCAAGTATTCCAGGATACTTGTATGGGTTAGTCATACAAGTATCCTGGATAACCCATACAGCTCGTTCTCTTCCAGTAGGGAAGTCTGTCTAGAGAACCAAATGAAAATTCAAACATTGTTTGATTCAGGCCAAAGGGAATTAGATAATCTTAATTATATGCTTTGTGTATCTTTTTTCATAATTCTTGCCAGGTATCCAAATTAGGCTAGCCTTTCAGAGTATCTTCTCTGATCCATGCAGGATACTAACAAGAATACTAACAAATTCTTAAATTCTCTGATTACCAGGGGGTCTTACTCTTGCTCAGGCTGGTTTTGAACTGCTGACCTTGAGCGATCTGCCTCAGCCTTCCAGAGTGCTAGGATTACAGGCGTGAGCCACCGTGCCCGGCCAGAAATTACTTTTCTTAAACCATCTTATGGCTTCTCCCATCCAAGTACTAACCAGGCCCTATCCTGCTAAGTTTCCAAGATCAGATGAGATCAGGTGCATTCATGGTGGTATGGCCGTAGACCATCTCATGGTTTCTTAATAAAGTTGAAATAGAGTTTGAGATCATTGTCCGGTACCTAAAAATAAATAGCTGTAGCAAAATTAAGTGTGTAAGGAATATATCAGAGACCAATTCTGAACTGTGGAACTAATCTTAATACATATTATCTTAGTCTAAACCTGTTGTAAACTCACCTTTGTACATTAGCATTCATTTAAGCAAGAATTGCACAGGTATGTTCACCCTGGAACTTTCCCTTAGCAAACAAAGTTGTCCTAGTGTATTAGAGGCCAAAATGAGGATTTATTTTGCTTTTTGACTTTCTAAATATTAGGTCATTATAATCTTTTTGTCTCCTCTCCAGCAATATCAGTTACTATAATTTTTTCCATATGTTTTTTACTAATCTGAGAACAGGCTACGTCATTCAATTAGAATGTTATTTTTTTATCACATTTTTATAATGCCTATGAATTGAATGTAGGAAATTTTTCCAGATATCTATTACTTTGACAGCTTTTATAATGTGTGATGAATGTACAATGGGATTTCTTCAGAGTTTCTGTTTTCTTTTTTTTGAGACAAAGTCTCACTCTGTTGCCCAGGCTAGAGTGCCGTGGCATCAGCCTAGCTCACAGCAACCTGAAATTTCTGGGCTTAAGCGATCCTTCTGTCTCAGCCTCCCAAGTAGCTGGGACGACAGGCATGTGCCACCATGCCCGGCTAATTTTTTCTATATATTTTTAGTTAGCCAATTAATTTCTTTCTATTTTTAGTAGAGATGGGGATCTCGCTCTTGCTCAGGCTGGTCTCGAACTCCTGACCTTGAGCGATCCTCCCACCTCTGCCTCCCAGAGTGCTAGGATTACAGGTGTGAGCCACCACACTCGGCCAGATTTTCTGTTTTCAGTACTGAAAGTCTTACTGTTTCCCTTCTAGTACAATCATGTTTGAAATTAAGAAGATCTGCTGCATCGGTGCAGGCTATGTTGGAGGACCCACATGTAGTGTCATTGCTCATATGTGCCCTGAAGTCAGGGTAACGGTTGTTGATGTCAATGAGTCAAGAATCAATGCATGGAATTCACCTACACTTCCTATTTATGAGGTAAACATTAAAAAACTCTTTGTTCTTATGTTCTTTGTTTTCTTACTATCTTTATTAAATAATTTGCACTATTAAGGAAAAAATCTATGACTGCAACTGATAAGAAATGATATGAAAAAAATCTGGATACAAAAATTATGGACATTAAAATTATAATTATGTCAAGTATGCCCAGGAAAAATGACTGGAAATAAATATATGACAATATTAATAATGGTTGTAGTAGTATGGTAACATTATGAGTAATTTTTTTCCTTCTCTATTTTCTAATTTTATCTGTTAGTATCATTATCATTTATGGGTTAAAAAGTGGTATTCTGTAAAAATAAAATAAAACTGTGGTTGTTTATAATATTAATATAAATTCAGTATATTTTTAGATTTTATTGTACTTATATCAGGTATGTCTTAAATGGATAAATGGCATCTTTCATATTTAGAGTTTAGTACCACAAATTTATTTAATCAGAATTTCAAAATTCCTGTGAATTTAGAAAATAAATAGTTAGGGAAATATGCTTTTTTTTTTACTGATCTATCTAGGTCCCATTTTTTAAATTATTTCACTGTAAAATGAATAAATGATATTATGCTTTTGAAACCCACGAAGAAAGCATTTGAAAATTTGATGGTAGCATTTTCAGTCTCACATTATATATTCTTTCTTATTTCCCCCAGAAAAGCTTGCTTATTGATTACACTGTTATAAGCCATAGTCTTTAGTTGTGTTAGACCTTTAGAAGAAAGGAATCAACCCAGTTCCATTTGTAAGATAGATCTGCCTGCTGTGTATAGGCATATGAGATATAGGAATCTATTTTTAAAAAGCACCCATAGAGTAGTAGCCACTCAGCATCACAAATTTACTCACATCTGAATCAGATTTAGCATAAGAGAGAATCTTGATCTTTCTTTACCAAAGATCTGCCCATAAATATTTAAAATCCTCCATGCTATAGCATCTCTTTCCCTGTTATAAATGTAATGTTGCTACTATGTTTGGTTTGGGGAAATTTTTCTATTAATATTTTGGAAGATAATTTGATGAAGAGTTTTGTAATTCTAATATCCATATGGGTACAAGTCACTTGAAGCCATACTTATATCCATTCAATAATTAATTTTGCCAGCATTGTATTCTAATCTTCAAAATTAAAGGACATTTGGTACCAACCTTATCAAAGAAAAAAAAATAAAAAATAAGTTAAAGCACACCCATTAGAATGGTTAAAATAATATTACTGACAATACCAAGTGTTGACGAGGATGCAGAGCAATTTGAATTTTTTTTTTTGAGACAGAGTCTCACTTTGTTGCCCAGGCTAGGTAGAGTGCTGTGGCCTGAGCCTGGCTCACAGCAACTCCATCTCCTGGGCTTGAGCGATCCTACTGCCTCAGCTCCCGAGTAGCTGGGAATGCAGCATGCGCCACCATGCCCGGGTGATTTTTTGTATATATTTTTTAGTTGGTCAATTAATTTCTTTCTATTTTTAGTAGAGATGGGGTCTCACTCAGGCTGGTTTTGAACTCCTGACCTCTAGCAATCCGCCCACCTCTCAGCCTCCGAGTTCTAAGATTACAGGCATCGAGCATCATGCCCCGGCCAGCAATTTGAATTTATGCACTGGCTGTCAAGAATGTAAATTGAACCATCCTCATATAGCCATCTAATCTTTGACAAAGCAGACAAAAACATACGCTGGGGAAAAGATCCCTTTCAATAATGGTGCTGGAAAACTGGATAGCCACCTGTAAGAGGCTAAATAGGCCAGGCACCTTTCCACCTCTCACAAAAACAACTCACGCTGGATAACAGACTTAAACCTAAGGTATGAAACTATTAGAATTCTAGAGGAAAATGTTGGAAACACTCTCCTCGGACATCGGCCTAGCAGAAAGAGTTTATGAAGAAGTCCCCAAAGTCAATCACAGCAGCAACAAAAATAAATAAATGGGACATGATCAAACTACAAAGCTTCTGCACAGCCAAAGAAACAGTCATGAAAGTAAACAGACAACCTACAGAATGGAGATGGAAGAAAATTTTTGCAGCTACGTAGTCCGATAAGGGGCTGATAACTAGAATATACTTAGAATTCACGAAAATCAGCAAGAAAAAATCCAGTAACCCTGTTAAAAAGTGGGCAAAGGACTTGAACAGAAACTTTTCTAAAGAAGACAGAAGAATGGCCAACAAACATATGGAAAAATGCTCAACATCTCTAAATCATCCAGGGAAATGCAAATCAAACTACAATGAGATATCCACTTAACTCCGAGTGAGAATGGCCTTTATCAAAAAGTCTCCAAACAATACATGCTGGCGTGGATGCGGAGAGAGAGGAACACTCCTACAATGCTGGTGGGACTGCACACTAGTTCAACCTCTGTGGAAAGCAATATGAAGATACCGTAAAGCAATACAAGTGAATCTACCATTTGATCCAGCAGTCCCATTGCTGGGCATCTACCAAAAGATCCAATGACACTCTAACAAAAAAGACACCTGCACTTGAATGTTTATAGCAGCACAATTCATAATTGCAAGGCTGTGGAAACAGCCCAAGTGCCCATCAGTCCAAGAATGGATTAATAAAATGTCGTATATGTATACCATGGAGTACTATTCAGCTCTAAGAAACAACGGTGATATAGCACATCTTATATTTTCCTGGTTAGAGCTGGACCCATACTATTAAGTGAAGTTCCAAAATGGAAAAACAAGCACCCATATACTCACCAGCAAATTGGTATTAACTGAGCAGCGGCTAAGTGGACACATAGGTACTACAGTAATAGGATATTGGGCAGGGAGGA